TTTGTTGAACCGTAAGGGTTACGTTAATCTGCCCTCAACTGTAATATTACTTACCCTCAACCTGATCTCAACCCCAAAAGGGGTCAAGTCAATGTAATAGCTAGTAATAGCTACGATAAATCAGGAATACATGGAATGACAGTTCTACATAGAAGCTGGAATATGTACTTATTGAGGCTGTACTTTGCATAACAAAGAAAGTGAAAAAATTTTCATTATGAAGTGACTATTCTTTCTTTCTTTATTTTCTTCTATGACAAGATTTCTTCCCTGCCATCATGATTTTCATAGATTTTGCCAGCTCTTATTATGTAAGAGATTTCATGATTTTCACAGTCTTTGCAGGCTCTTACTATCTTTGCAGGCTCTTACTATGTAAGAGATTTCATGTTTTTCATAGGCTTTGCAAGCTCTTGCTATGAGGTTTCATAGATTTTGCCAGCTCTTACTATGTAAGAGATTTCATGTTTTTCATAGATTTTGTAAGCTCTTACTATGAGATTCTCATAGATTTTGTCAGCTCTTACTATGTAAGAGATTTCATGATTTTCACAGTCTCTGCAGGCTCTTACTATGTAGTTAGTTAAGAAATTTCATGGTTTTCACAGTCTTCGTGGGCTCTTACTTGTTGTATGTATGTATGTTGGTATGTAATGTAATGTAATATACACACTAGAAATGAATGTGTTGATTCTACTTTGATAGTCAAGCCCTGGTTGACATTACCCTAGAGTAGAGTGTACTAACTGGTGGAATCTACTATCAACATATTACAAAGTATGCCGCACCGCTACCGTAACAGCCAGTCTAGGTTGAACTTGGATTCCACAGTAAGGTTACAGTAAGATTACAGTACAACAAATCTCCTGGATTCCGGTATGGGTAAATGTCTCTAGCACGTGACTGACAGCTGACTCAGCAGAATCTGATTCGAGAATAGCATAAAGACCAGAAACGTTAAAAGTGGTCGCGCCGCACGCCGTACTCAGATCTTCAACCAGCACTTCGAGCTTCTGGACTTCTTTTCTCTGTTCCGCTTCAACAGGCCTGTAACCTTCGAGTTCAAATAGTGTCATCTTATTCAATCTATTATTAGCCGTCCTGTCACGTTTTGTTACCTCATCCAACCCTATTTCTTGAAGACTAGACGATTGGTGACCTCCTTTGCTTAACTGAGAACGCTCGCAGCTCTCCCATTGATTGTCCCAACACAGAGAGTTCACGAAAATTTATTACTTGACTGAACTCAACCGATCTCTTGAAGCTGGTCTCTAGGCCGCTAGGCCATTTCGGTTGATGGCGAGTGTCGTTGACAACGATACTTCTTTCTACCCGTCTTAGGGACTTGTGGAAGCAGCAAAACCTCTCGAGGATAGCCGAACAGAATGTCCCGACCTCCTTACTTGTTTCTCGACTAAGACCTTGGCTCCGAAGATGAGGACGACTTCAATCCAGCGCCGATTGAAGATTCTGATCCCGATCGCGAAGATAGACGAAGCGACGCAAATGTGGACAAAAGCATGAATCACAATAGGACTGAACGGGTCGCTGAAGACAACGTTGCAGAAGATGAAGGTCCCGCTCTTGAAGGCGAGAAAGGCGAAGATGTGCACGGTGATAGAGAAGACGATGGTGAAGAACCAGCGGAAATTGAGGGTGCTGCTGGAGTAAACGTAGTTGAAGATGATGAAGACAACAAAGAGGAAAAGAGGAGGAAGACGAATTATTTACAGTGAGTCTTATGTAGTTACTGATAGTATTCTCTGCCACGCTGCAGGGTCACCCTAGAAAGTGCAGATGCGGTCTTAATGCTTTCTTCGAAAAGGAGGCTGAAGCTGAGAAAGAAGAAAAAGATGTGGAAGAGGAAGAAGAGGAAATTAAAGCTGAACTTATTCTTCCCGATGACGATGATGCTATCACAGTGCTGAGACTGATGACCACAGACAACTCAATCAGAAACAGGACTTGGAGGTGACTATGGATGCTGAAAAGCAGGCACAGGCCCTGAAAGAGCAATACGAATGATACCATACTGCAGCTTCCAACCTAGTTGTCATTCTCAAAAGATTAGTGTTGGCCAGCATTGATTGAGGGATATATAGGGTTATCAGAATCATTTGCAATTCCCTCAACGGTATCAAGAAACCCATCCTTGATTCTGGTGCAGTTGGAAAACAGATTGACAGTTCATTCTCCAAAACAAGTCACTTAGGCTTGTTTGCAAATATTTTTTAGCTTACTCTGATGATTGACTCCAATATGCTGTGTTTCACAGAAACCAAATGGTGAAATCAGCGCACTGTTCGGCAGACTCCATGAAGAGTTCCTTCTCACAGTCAGCACCAAACACCTGCAGCACATTCACGATGGTAATCAGGACAGATTATCACTCTCTCATATTTGTTTGGACTGGCTGCTCTCCAAGACTCTTGTTCACATTTTGCTAGATGATAACTCTGTTACTCCTGAGCCCTATTCCTTTGAGCACTCTTATCATATTCTTTCCCAAAGTCTTCTCCATATTATATATTCAACTGATGATAGTTTCCCTGCTGAGACTGCATCCCTCTAGCTGGCTATATTCATGACCAATTGGAGTTGCTGTGCCTGTGGCGTTCAAATTGATGATCTGGGCGAAAACTGGCAAAGTGAATTCCATGCGGCGTATACAGCCGTTGGAGACATGGAATCTCTTTCCCTCACTGGCGTTGGACTTCTAAATGCGATGCTTGATAGAGCTGGAGGCCTTTTTGCACCAATAATGCCAAGAATGATCTAACATTGGCTTTTGGAAAAGATACAACTGAACAGCCACCGCACAGCAATTTTCCCCAGTGATAAGTCAGATAACTGTGACTTTATGCCTGTTCATGACTTAGAACAGTCCTACTTACCTGCTGGATTTTATGCCAGGGTAAGATTATCCTGAGATATAATCTGCGCCTTGGACTATGGAGTCTAACAATGACCAGATTAAAAAAAAAGGGGAAGTTTACGGCACTTGGGGCTAGTTCTGAACATGCAAGAATGCACAGACAGCTGTAGAATCCAAAGGTTTCAGCAGATCCGCCTGGCTCCCTTTGATTATGGGAAAAGAGTTGATTATTAGTTAACTTGCTCAGATGGAATATATCCCAAGCTCTGTGAAGAGCAAAAGATGTGGATGGCAGCCCCTATCATTACCAACATGGCAATGCCATCAATATACCTACCAGATGATTCGTGACAGCATGCTAGGAGGCAAAGTCAAAAATTGCTCTCTTTGAGGTTGCATTTATTCAAGGTGCAAAGGAAAAAGAAAGAAAAAGTTGAAGCCCATTCTCGATGCAAGGAGAAATTAAGTCCAAGAGGGAAAAAGGAAAAGGGAAAAGTCCGAACCAGAGCCTGATAAATACACCCAAATCTACTCAATCCGTAAGAAAAAAAATAAAATAAAATAAAAGTCCAAATACATACATCATGCCGTAAAGAAAATATGTTGAGAACCATAGCGTCGACCAATATGTAGGCAACACAAAAGCAAATAAGATATAAATCATATAAACTAAGAATTTTATCATTGTTGCTTTTTGGCTGCTGCTGCTGCCGGACCGTTCGCTTTGTCAAAGGCTGCGTAAGATATCTTCACGCTGGACAATCCAGAGATTCCAATGTAGACAAGGAGAAGGAAGAATAAAACCACCATGAGGCCCATGAATATTCCTAGGTAAAGGCATTAGAAACGAAAAGAGAAAAGAAGAAAGGGCTGGTAAATTCGCCTTCGACAACTAACCTGGGCTTAAGAACTGATATTTCTCGAAGAGGGCTCGATTATCAGACTTTTTGCTGTTCGAAGAATCGGGTTCTCTCTTTAACTGGGCATGAAGAGGATCTTGGGTTTTCAAAGTGTCGGAGTCCGAATGGGCTGAACCCCTTGCCGTGGTTGCGTAAATGACGGTATAATTCGTGACAGGAAGATGGTCAATAATAGTAGCGAGAGATAGGTCTATAGGCTGGTCAATTCCATTAGATAAGTAACACTTGACTCAATGTACTAACCGTAATCAAGAAGTGTTTCTGCACGATTCGAGCCTTCTGGCAGCTCCGGAAACCCAACCCTCACAACTTGCGGCCTGCCACGGTGCGACAAGGATGGAAACGAACCAGCTACTTTCGTTAGTGTCTGTTGACATGTTGTCACCCCAATTCCCATCGCACTCTTTCACGTGTCCAGGGTTTCACATACAGGCGCCGTTTAGCGATATAGAATCCGCTGCACATCTCGATTCAAGCATTGACACCAGCCCTTCGGTATCGAAATCTCCCACGACTTCGCTAACAGTGAAACTAGATCTCACAGCCCCATCCTTCTTCAGGACCTTTTCTCGTAACCGTGGCGCCGACTTGCGCGCATTATAGTCTAGAACATGGACACCCGGTTGGGACGCGATAATGTAGAAATCCGACGGACACGAGAGCAATTTGTTATAAACATCGTCTTGGACGGCAGTCGAAGATGCCACCTGTCGGGATTTTGTGTCGAAGCTGCAGGGAATGAAGAATACTGTGTGTCAGCGAGGCTAGGAACCTTTATGGAACTCGGATGAGCTGGAGGAAACGGTAGCACCCACCCGTGTGTTGAGAAAAAGAAGAAGGGAGATGTGTCTCTAAATGCACCAGCACTGGCTGCTGACCCTAGGATCAGAAGCCCAAAATTTGGAGGTTTCATCTTCAAATTGATGGCTTCTTAAATGATGCCACGAAGACTTCGAGAATGTGTTTTTGGCTTTGAGCTCCCGCTGTCGCCCTGACGTTTTCGGTGATGTTCACAGCCTTGGCGTAAGCTCAGAGCTACTCCCAGCTTGTAATAGGAATGACAGAGGTATGCGTTATCTAGAGCTTAACTTCTTTTACAACAGCGATGCAAGTTAGCAATTTGAGGTATTAAGAAACGAGCAAGAAGTTGAACGTGCCCAAAGTGTTGACATCCTGAAAAAAAAATAAAAAATACCATATATTAATGGTCGACGCAGGGATCGAACCTGCGACCTTCCCCGTTTTTCATCATGAGTGTAAAGGGGACGCCCTAACCACTAGGCCAGTCAACCTGTAATCATCAAATTTTTGATTTAATGACCCTTATTTTGAAAATCCCACGGTGGATGAAATTTGGCCTCGGGTACTCGACGGAGTAGTCCGAGCAGCATTTTCCCTTGCAAAAAATACGCCCCAGAACAATGGCACCCCCTCCCAAACGCCGTAAATTGGGCACTGCCCCAGCCACAGAGATCCTTTTCGACAATGATGCTCGACACGAATATCTCACCGGATTCCACAAGCGAAAACTACAGCGCGCCAAACACGCGCAGGAGATAGCGGAGAAGAAAGCCAAGGAGGAAAAGCGGGAGCAACGCCGCAAGGTTCGTGTCTGTCCCCAAGTTTTTCAAAACAAAAAGCTGTTTTTGGATTTTGGACTTATTCCGCAACCAAACTAACGACCGTTTCTTTTCTAGCTCCGAGAAGAGAGACATGCAGAGTTTCAGAAAGCTATTGAGGAAAGTCGCAAACGACTGCTGGAAATGAACGGTTCTTCATCGGACTCCCAGGGGGGCGGTGATTCAGAGGAAGACAACAGTGAAGAGTGGGAAGGGTTTACCGAACTGCCAGCAGTCGATTATGAGGCTGAATATATCGATGAGAACAAATATACTACTGTAACGGTGGAGGATATGGATTTGTCGAAGGAAGGGATATACCAAGCTACGGAAATTAACGACAGCAGAGAGATGGATGGGAGAGAGCCGAGGCATATGAGTTCCGTAGACAGAGTTGATGATAATCAGCCATCGAAGAAAAATCTCGACCATGCGAAAAAGAAAAAGAAGAAATTTCGATATGAATCCCCGGCGGAGAGGAAGGCTACGAGAATGAAGGAACGCACAGGCAATCGAAAACAAGCAAAAGCTAGACGTGCAGCTTGACATGCAGCTAATTAAATACAATCTACTGAGGTTTAAGAATCCTAACAGGCAACAAACTGTGCATTGACGGAATTAGCAAGCTCATGGTGCATTTCACGCTGCGAAGGCAATGCTGAGGGAATAAGCTAAATGAGCACAGTAAAGTGGAATACGACGATTAGAAATATGATATGAACATGTAAAGTATCAGAGATGAAGCTAATGTCCGTAGGCAGAGCAACATCTCTGTGGACTCGGCGGTAGATCTAAAATAAAGGAGACGACCGCTGTGCTTAGATGCTGTTGAGCGTGTTCTCCAAGTCCTTCATCTCTTGCTGAAGTTCCTTGTATTTTCGAGATATCTCATCGTGCTTGGTCTCCCATTCCTTAGCCTGAGCTTCAGCGGATTTTGCCTGACGTTCGTAATGCTCGGCCGTGAGTTCCGCTTCCTGGCGACTGTTTTGTCCAGAGAGCGTCAGTCATCGATCAACCCAAAGATAATCTGGCTGACTGGTTATGGTCAATACCTCTTGTTTGCTTGTTTCGCAGCGGCAAAAGTCTCATCCAATTCATTCTGGAGCAGCTCCACACGGCTTTCAAGAGCTTTTAATTTCGCATTGTCTTGGGCACCGGCGTCTAGTGCTTCTTTAGCTTCCCCCAATTGCCCACGAACCCTCTCGATATCGCTTCCAAGTAATTCTTTGCCCTGCGAAAGTTCTGTGATCTGTCGTTCCTGCTCCTGGTTCTGGTCCTTGAGAAGCTTGATCTCCTCCTTCAGCTGTATAACCTCATCCTGGAGAGATTCATTCCGTTCTTGAAGAGCCTTGTGTTTCTACAGATATTATAATCGCTAGTTAGCAATGCTAAGCTCTCATTCATATTAGGTTGGCGGTTTGGGGCGAGGTGGATGCCTCCTTGCTCCCAACCCCACGAGTGTAAACATACCGCTAAGAACTGAGATCCCATGCCTGACATCTTCAAAAATGCAGAGTTAGAACAAGATCGAGATTATAGAAGATGATCTGATAGAAAACCCCGATGTTTTAGTTCTTTCAAGAGTTAAAACGGTTCGTTGATGGGAGAGAGTTGCTGCTACTTGAGTGTCTATGCGTACTATTTATGGAGTGCACTGACTCTGTGTTTTAACCTCCAACTCCCAACTCCTGGACTCCTGGCTTCCTGTGTCAGCCATCGCACGTGATAGGACCCACTCGCCCGAAACGCGCTTTACTCAACTGGGAAGCTCCTAATACGCCGGGTGGCTTGATACCGAATCTTACAATACTGCCCGCCGAGGTCTGCGCCAAAGTCCCTTACAGACTGGTAATACAGGTGTATGGCCAATTTGTATGTTACAGTTACTTTTCCATATGAAGTATTCGAGCATAGGATATAGGCAATTGATGAAGTTGGATTATCGCGAGAGGGCAGTTAGAGAACTTCATGCTCTTGCTGCCAGTTTGGGGGATTTTCATAGAAGGGTTTGAACTATGCAGTCAGACGTGTCTTAGCGGAAATTCTTCATCATCTGCACTGTCCCAAATCCCATAATTCCGCAGTCCCTTTCCCACTCTCCCAGACACCTGATGGCGCTTCGTTATCCCGCCATTCGCAACCTTCTCGGGCCCCATGGGTCCATATCACCCCTCCGGCATATTCAGAGGCGCTGGGCGCAGGTCCATGATGTCAGATTTCTTGTAACACATCAAACCAGCAACGTGTTGGAGAGATATAAGGATAAACTGAGCAGAAAGGCAAAGGAGTGAGCTGTGTTCCAAGTCTGCTTGAGTGAAAAGAAAGCTAACTTGCGCAACGTCTAGGGAGGGCCACTCATCCATATCTTCGTTAAAAGAAGCTTATCAAGACAAAATCCAAGCCGTCCGCGCCGCCAACGTGATCGAAGCACCACTTCCAAATTCATTCGCAGCACCTCCTCCTACTTCAAACCCCATACACCCTGCATCCCCGTCCAGCTCACAGACCAAATCGCCTTCTGCAACCTCCAGTACCCCCCTCAATTCCTCCACACCAGGCATAAAACCACTCTCCGCATACCTCGACATCCCCAAAATCCTCACCCTCCCCCAAAAAGAAATAGAAACGCTATGGCGTCTCCGACACTCGCCAAACCCAAACTCCATCTGCGCAACCATCCCCCTAGAAACCTACAGCCGAATCGCCACTACCGCACGACAAAACCCGCAATTCGTCCTCCCCTTACCCAGAGAAATCAAGACCTATCCAGAGGAACCTCATTCTGAACCCGACCTTTCCTCTCCCCCAACAACAGCAACTTCCACCGCCGCAGAAATGCACTTCCTCCAATGGGGTTTCCACCCACCTGCGTCGACGCCAACCACCCGGCCCACTTCACCCAGCTTCAGAACCCAAAACACGCACACCTCTACCGTCATTTTCACGCATTTAGCCTCCTACAAGCTCCACGGCGCTTACTCCCAACCGCATACGATACTCACGCATCATCTGGACCTGGCCGATGAGAAGGGGCTGGTTCTCATGAACGGCACTGTAGTGCCGGATAAGGGGGTGAGTCTGGACGAAGCAAAGCTGTTGGTAATGTGGTTGCAGCGGTTTTACGATTGGGGCGTTGATGGGGTGGAAGGAGGGCGGAAGGGAGAGATGCTGAGGATGTTTAGTCGGGGAGACGTGGAAGGGTTTAAAGTTGAAGAGTTGGTGGAAGAGGTGGAAAGGATCTAGAAAGGAATTTTCAATCAACTCACAATTCTGAGTTCTTGCCCATTGAATGAATTGTATCTGACTCAAGTAAGTTGCTTGCTTTCATATCATTTGCAACACTTGGGAGCTGAAACCTCATGAGAACAGTGTCTTCTTTTTTTAGCATATATTCAGATAAATAAATTAAATAAAGTCTGAAATAACACATATGATTCTCTAGTCATACAAAAAGATATTTGAAATATAAGTATATACAGAGTACATCTGTTTGAATTTTGGGTAAACTTCTTAGCACTGTCATACTAAAATAATATATACATTGATAAACTGTAAACAGTTCCAGCATTGATTCCTGATCTATCAGACACAAGGCCCCAGACCCAAGGATTCTTCAGGAAACAAATGTGTGCATGGGGGGGTATCTTCATCTTTCATCTTCGCCAAAAATTATATGCATCCTTCCCACCACAGCAGCAAAATAGCTGTCAACCGACTAGCCATTCTAGACAGGTAATCGAAAGCAAAGAGATAGAGAAAAATAGTACACGCTGCCAAGTGAAGCCATCAACCACAGATGAATGTATAGGTGCTAATCCAGAACATCAGAAATGGAAACGTCCCAAAGCCACCGAACCCTCAAAATGAAAAAGCCATCAAACCCAAGACCATTAATGTGAGATAAGAAAAAAGCCACAGGTATCGCCTTATTACATAGCATCGTTTGAGAATCCCAGAAAAAAGAAAACAACATTAAAAGTTCCGCGGTTATTTTCCGGCTTTCATGCGAAAAAAAGGAGGAAGGACAAACAGTCTATGATGCCTGCAACCAACCGTGAGGAAAACAAATTGCAGAAAAGGAATTTAATCCAGGATTTCATCGACCACAAATGAGTGGACGTGTTCGAAGTATCCTGGCTCTGTGATAGTATCGTTATGTGAGCCGTTTGGGAAAGTCCGCCAGATTTTGGTTTTGGCTGTGCATATCTTATAGAGTTCGAACATATGTGATGCACTGTACAAGTTATTAGTTTGGGAAAGGCAAGGCTTCTTTGGATAGAGCTTCAAGCTTACGGGATAATCTCGTCTTTTAATCCACTCAGGAATAGTATTGGGATGCTTTTGATTTTGGGAAGCACATCCTCACTCGACCATTGCTGATGACACAGTCGCGTCATGTATTTCGCAGCGGGAAGGACACTAGACGCAAGTGAGAATAACATCCCACGAGGACGTCATCTGAAGCTTGAGACGTACCTCGGAATCAGTTTTCTTATGCTCAAAAACGTATTCTCTAAAATCAATCCGGCAATATCACCATGCTCCTCGTTTCTCGCAACAAGGCTAATCGCCACAGCTCCACCCAGACTCTGCCCGTAGACCAATATCTTCGTCTCGCTCGTCTCTGGTCGCTGTCTCAAATAATCCAACCCCGTCTGCGCATCGATCTTCAA